CGAGTTCCCGAAGTATTTGATTTACTGGAAGGGATGCTGTACTGTGGTTGTATCTCAGCAGTATTGCAATTTTATTATAATTTATTGGTTAATGAGTCATGTTTATGTTGTATTCTTATATACGGTTCCACGAGCGCTGGTTTTATTGGAATATGCCACCACAGATTCCAATCAAACCAGACGGAGGGGCAGGAATTTTTGCAAGGTTTTATCCGCAGCGATTGTACTTCAGTATTTTTATGATCGTATTTAGGTTGTATTCTAATATATTATTCTTCCACGAGCACTGGTTTTATTGGAATATGCCGCCAGAGATTCCAATCAAATCAGACAGAGGGGTAGAAATTTTATCATGATTTTATCCGCAGCAGTTGTACTTCGGCATTTTTACGGTCGTGTTTAGGATTTATTATAATATATTATTGTTCCACGAGTGTTTATTTTATTGGAATATGCCACCACATATTCCAATCAAACTAGGTGGAGGGGCAGACGTTTTATCAAGGTTTTATCCGCAGCGGTTGAACTTCTTATTTTTTTACGGTCGTGTTTAGGTTGTATTCTAAAATATTATTGTTCCACGAGCGCTGCTTTTATTTGAATATGCCGCCACAAATTCCAATCAAACCAGGCGGAGCTACAGAAATTTTATCAAGGTTTTATCTATAGCGGTTGTACTACAGTATTTTTACGGTTGTATTTAGGTTGTATTCTAATATATTATTGTTCCACGAGCGTTGGTTTTATTGGAATATTCCGCCACAGATTTCAACCAAACCAGGCGGAGGGGTAGGAATTTTCCCAAGGTTTTATCTGCAGCAGTTGTACTACGGTCATTTTTAGGTTTTATTCTAATATATTATTGTTCCACGAGCGCTGGTTTTATTGGAATATGCCGCCACAGATTCCAATCTAACCAGGCGGAGGGCAGGAATTTTTGCAAGGTTTTATCTGCATCGGTTGTACTTCAGTATTTTTACGGTCGTGTTTAGGTTGTATTCTAATATATTATTATTCCACGAGCGCTAGTTTTATTAAAATATGCCGCCAGAGATTCCAATCAAACTAGGTGGCGGGGCAGAAATTTTAGCAAGGTTTTATCTGCAGCGGTTGTACTTCGGTATTTTTAAGCGACAATAATAAACTTGTAATAAAACGACAATATTACAATAGATCTATAAAATAATAAACCCATAATAACTCCTGAATAAAACGATAATAATACAAAAGTCTGTTATAGTTTAAACAACAATAATACGACAATAATAACTCCTGAATAAATAGTTTGTTGCAATTTAAACATTACATAAAATGATAAACATGTATTATGGCAACATGTTTTATATATTATCATCTATGTCCATTAATAAGCTCGTATATGTCCCTGTGTGTTGTGTTTGAGAAAATTTTTGTTCATTGATAGTTGTAATGAGTAAATGTCAGGAAAGAAGTATACTTCAAAATAATGGAAATCGCAAAGAAAAACTTTCAGCAGCATCGAGTTCTCAACCTAACTAAAGTGATCCTCCATTGAAAAAAAATTTGGTTGGTATTGCGAAATGCTATCATGACTTGAACTAGTATCTTTCTCTTTTCCTATATACAATATTACATGTTAGCGAGTAATATTTCAGCGAATTAAAGCAACACTTAAGATTATAGGTAACATTTACTTTTGAATCTCTTGTTTTTTCCCAGTAGCCTTTTAACCTTGAATTAGATATTCCTTTTGGTTGCTTCTTCGTGGGATCATTCACATTTCGCTCTTTACTCGGTGTCTTCTTCTTCTTTGATTTTGAGTTTTCTTGAGGTTCCCGTCCACTCAGTATGGCTTCTACATCGATTGTTAGTTTATTAAATGCCTCCAACACAAGCTTCTCGGCAAGTTCATGACCTTACGTTCCGGTGCCGATCTGGTATGCAAATTTATGAATGTGATTGAGATAGATGAGTCCACTTGTAGAATTTGACAATATTTTTGACTTTGACAATATTTCTGACCCTTTACGATGTGCATAACCATAACTGTTATATATGTCTCTTTTAGCATTAATAGAACATCGAAGTAATATATATATATATATTTATCAGAGATTTTTGTTACATTTTTGTGATGAAGAACCCTTAGAGCGTGAGCACATAATAAGCCCATCATTTCAAATTTTTTACAACTACAGGTAATTTCAGAATTACCTATGTCTAGTTTAACAATCCAGGGTCCGTCTCCGTCCTTATTGTCGAGAGTTCGAATATGAAATTCTGAATCCATATTAGCGGAGCACTCCACAGCAAGCCCACACAAACCATGTAGAAACTGTGATTCAAACATTGAATATAACTTCCTTGTGTCAAGTAGAGCAACCTATCTCAACACGGGACTATTTTTTACAGTGGGAGAAATTGCAGACTACTGACATTTAAAGTCTTCATCCTTCTCATTTCTTCTCCAGTATTTCATGACATTTTCAAGACCCAAAAAACATTCGGTGAGGGTGATTGTTGCCTTGGAGGCACCATGACAAATCTTATTAGTGGACTCACTTCTGTTGATTCACTTCTTTGTGTTGATAGGATCCTCATTCCAAAAATTTCTTTATTGAAGGTGTTTGACCACTTATGTCTGATATTATACAATTCATCCAGCCAAACATTCTCGTGTAGGTTACCTTTTTCGATCATTTCACCCCAAGTTTCTTCGAACTCCTCTTCTGAGTCACATCTGCTCAAGCATTTATAAAAAAGATCATTGACTCTCTTGCTACCCACACAACAATGGACTTTTGAAGATAATTTCTTGTAAATGTGTCATTGACATAATCTATGTCTGGTGTGCGGAAAACACTCTTCAATGGCTTTAGACATTGCTTGATCATGGTCAATAAATATTGTTATTGGATGCTTGTTATCTATTATATGGATAAATGTTGTGAACAACCAATTGAATGATTCAATCGTTTCATCTGACAAAAAACCAACACCAAAGAGAACATTTGTCCAGTGGTGATTCACACCGACAATCAGAGCACAACATAAATTGTATTTATACAGCCTATAACTTGTATCAAATATTATTACATCCCCAAAGCAGTCGTAATCAATTCTGGACATCCCATCGCACCATAAAAAAATTCACCGAACAACCCGACTCATCAATTTGGAAGTCCTACGCAAATATTGGATCCTCCGCTTGCCGCGTAATGAACAATTATATGAGAGAATTAGCATCTCCTAGTTCAATTTGAACTCTTCTCTCTCTTTGTATGAAATTATACGCATCCATCTTTGTGCAATCAAGATTCTCCACTCATCCGACCTCAGTAGCGAGGAATCTGAATGCATCGCTAGTTCTAATCCCTGATTTTGTCATTGATCTGAGGATATTAGCACTGATGTCACACCCTCTTTCTGCTAGAACACAATAGATGCTTGTCACCGTCCTCCGCCAACAGATGGTTGTGACTTTCTATGAATTTCTTAACTGACCAGTTGCCTTCTAAATCAACGACATATCGGATCATGACTGGACAACCAATCCTTGTGTCCGCTCTTTGAACCTCACCGTGATATTGTCCTTTAACTTTTTCTTGAAACCAGTTTTACCATAAACAAAGTCCTTTGTCTTAATCTTCTTTGAATTCGGCCAGAAATCATAGGGGTCATTTCGCATAGTAAATCCAATATGGTGTGCATATACACAATATTGTTCATATGCTTCATTCTCATTGTGGATAACTGCATGAAGCAATTTTTCTGCCTCGGGTGACTGCAAATTTAGCATCAGCATTAGCACCCCAAAAGAAAATCAATACAAGACTACAATACAACAAGACTACAATACATAGACTACAATACATAAATCACACCATCATAATGCCATAATATAACCCAAATAACACCGTTGCAATGCCAATGTAACAGACCAATCAAATCCCGTTAAGGAATGTTACTAGCATCATCGTTAAAAGCCTATAACATACACATAACACCGTGATAAAACCACAATAACACACTGATAACACAATTAGAACGCCAATATAAGACTCCGATAAAATGTCTAATTAGATCAATTAACACTGGATAACACAATGATAATACCAAAATAATATCACATTACCACTCCACCATATAGGAGACCTTACAGGTAAAAAAACACCCGCATAACACCACAATAACAAAAGCATAGTACTATTAAATGTCAACATAATACACCAAAATAAAATCAAGTTAGCATATCCAATATTACCTTAATAACACTATGATATTACCAAAATAACACAAAATCCTCACGACAATAACGTTACAAACAAATGATATTGTAACACTTTGACATCATTACAACAACGAGAATAGCTACCCATTAACCCCATCACGGCGACGAGAACAACACTTCATTATGACAGTTATTTAACCCAATAAAACTATGAAAACAATCAGAAATGAAAAACAACTCCAAAAACAACCAATATAGCATCGTGATATTACCTAAATAACACCACGTCCCACACTAACCGAAACTTAGCGTTACCCGTCAGATAAAAACAGAGCAAACTTCATTAACAAAATAAATATTCCTTAAAGCCCAAATCTGCAGTCAAACAAGTATAACCTACCTGTCGAATTCCTTCTGTCGCATCTAAACTCAGCTCATTCACATGATTCTCGAAAATATTTTGAAATTCCAGTTCATTGTCATGTTTCTCGCAAGTATTTTGAGATTCCAACAATATTTATTCGTCAAGAAATATTTCAATCGAACCAGGTCCATCGAATACGAATAAATCCTAGAAAAGCAACGAAATGAGAATATCCCGAATCGCTATGCCTAAATGAGACAAAATATGACTTTTTTCTAATTGACGGGAAGTGAAAATAACAAAAGTGTATTTTTTTGTGTTTGGGCAGAATTCAGGTCGGGTCGGGCGTGATATAATAAAATATTTAACATATTTTACATTATGCGGTCGGATCCAAGCACTTGAAATATTTTTATTCTCGTTGAGCTTAGACCCGACCGCTTCGCAGCGCCGCACCATTCTACCCTAAGCCTCTATATATCAGATCATATCTCGGGAAGCTGCAGACGAGCGCTCGACTGAAACCTTTCTACCTTTCGCGATTTTCCCGTATCTTCATCTGCTCCCTCACTCTTTCGACCGCGAAACATCATCTAGCAGCGATGACTGGCGACCCTCTTTCTGATAACCTCCGTACGATCTTTGTCGATAGTAATATCGACACGCATCTTGCGTTGGTTGTCTCCCCCTACGACACCATTGCCGCCATTAAAGGTGTCCTTAATTTATCAATATTAGCATTTTCGATCTCTGCCTTTTTTTTTTTCTTTTTTGTTTAATCTTACTCACATTTTTACTTTTATTTTTATTGCCGTGCAGCAAAAATATCAGCTGAGCATGCTTTTTGCTTCCAGGATATCGGTGAAATCTCCATTCAGTCAATAAAGGCATGTCACTTTTTTTTTCTTAATTGAAGTTTAATTTCATCTCTGCAGTGATAACAATGACTGAACGAATAGTCGAGGGAATGACATTCAGAACGTGAAAATTTAAATATTTCAGGATGTGTTTCAAATAACCGAAATAAAGGAGCTAACATGTCTAAAAAATGTCCACAGACAGAATCAGTATAGTTATCTTCTCATCCATTGAATGTCTAAAAATTATGTATTATTTCCTTGACCTCAAGCATACTCCTCATCTTTCATAAATAAAACAAAATTTTCAAACCACACTCTCAGTGATTATTTCAATTCGGATAAAGACTTTTAGTTTACATTCCTTTGTGCAGAATTTCTTACTAAATCTCGGAGGTGCATTCATGTACACCTCTTCTTTTAAGTCCCTATTGTCTAATGCATTTTTTATAGCCAACTATTGTAGGGTTAAATTAAGATTAATTGCAAGTGACAAAAGAACTCTTATATAGTTTAGTTTTATGACTGGGTTAATGTCTCCAAGTAATCAATGACGTAAGTCTGAGTTAATCCATTGGCAATCAGTTAAGCTATACTGTACTGTAAACATTCATTTTCACTCTACAATTGTCTTCCCTTTAAGTAGATCTGTTAATTTTCAGTCATTTTTTTCAAAAGCTTTCATCTTATTGAAAATTCTACTTTCACTTCTTTCAGAACATTTTGCACAGTATTTAGAATTTTCATACAAGACAATTGTGAGGTAAATTTACGAAAAACAATGTAGAGATTTTCACATGACACATAATGAAACAATGGATGTTGAGTGCAAGACTTCAACCCTTTAAAAGCAATGATGAAAGGATTGACATCATTAAACTTAGGATTGGACTATGATTTATGTTCACTACTAGAAGACTCATAACTCGAAGATGAAGGGGATTGAACATGGGGTAAAGGCTCGGTGATGGCATCGTTTGGAGGGTGCACAATGCAAATGATTCGTAGACCCTATTTTTTGAGTTGTCATCTAGCGCAAGTAGAAAATATCAAACGGTACCGTTGTTGTAGTTTTTTTTCCTGTTTATTTCTTGTTCATTTGTTGTAGAATCATTAACATCATTAGATGACGCTGTAGGAAGGTCTGAATCATCTTCAATAAAGCATCTTCAATATCTACAACTCGACCGACTTTCTCTTAATATAATATAGCTTTGATTTTTTTGTTGAACAATCAAGATTGGGGAGGTATTATTATATGAATCTTCAGTTTAGAAAGATCTTGAAAAATAGTATTTGAATCTTTTTTGTCCCACCTTGAAGATCAATAATAAAAAAATGGGTGTAATTCAAAAAATGTGACAGTAATTAATATTTTTTTCGATATGGGATCTAAGATTTTATAGTTTTATGCCCATGCCCCTTTTGAGTAGGAGCATAACGAACACACACTTTTTTTAGCTTGGGATTCAAGTTTCTCTTAATTTAGATTATGAATGTGAACAAATGATGTACGATCAAATTTTTTTTTAGTATGAAGGACGAACAAATTTGTTGGATAAATTCTATGAAAACTATTAAAAGGTGTTTTTTTATTGGGCAGTTTGTTTATGAGGAATGTAGCAGTAAGCATTACTTCACTCCAAAGATATTTCAACACGTGATTGGTAAAAGTAATTTCCAAGCTACGTCCAATAAGTGTTTATTTTTTCTTTCAACCACACTATTTTTTTTAGAGTGCCGACACAAAATTTTAATGAACTATTTCTTTTTCGAAGAAAAATTAACTCCACAATATTTGAATTATTTTTAAAATTGTGTTAATACTATGGTGTAAATTTTTTTGTAAAATATTTTCGCTTCAGATTTTTGTTTCATTAAATAAAACCAAATTTAATCTTGTATGATAATCAGTAAATGTCACAAATTATTTTTTTCGGGAATATGCAAAATTTTTCGAGGGCCCAAGATATCACAATGAAATTAGATAAATAGCGTAGTTAATTTGTAAGTTTGGGGAAATAAGACGCATGATGATATTTAACAAATTTCACATTGAAAAGAGAACAATTTTTTTTATTTTGAAATAAAGTTGGAAATAAATATTTTAAATACTGAAAGTTTGGATGATTTAACATATAATGTCATAACATAATATCAACCTTTAAATATAAAAATAGAATTTAAACATGTACTTTGACATTATTATTTGAGTCAAATCCATTGTCAAATAATAGTATTTTTTTTCTTTTTATTGTCAATAATCCTCCAAGTGATAAATTCACACCAAAAGGATAAAGATTAGCTTGACATTGATAGGTAGAGGTAATTTTACTAATGGACAATAAATTACATGTCGGGTTGGGAAAATGGAGCACATCGTGAAGAGTTAACAACAAATTGATTTTAATAGTTCATATCCTAATAATTATCGAGAGGGAATCATTTTGACATTTTTATTATCTGCACAAGGTATGTTGGATGAGAACAATTTAGAGCAACTAGTCATATGATCAGTTGCACTTGAATTAATTATCAAAGAATGAACATATTTAGGAATAACACCTAACAATGCGGTGGCTAGAGTGTTATCTTTTTGTACTAAAGAGCAAGACAGAGTCAGGTACAATTTTAGATATTGAAAAAATGTGTAGGTACTCTAATTTTTCCTTGATAAAAGGGACTGCATTCAAGTTTGCAGAAGGCTCACGAATTTCTTCAGTAGTGTGTTGATAAGGCATGATTTTCAGATTGGATTTTGATTTCCAATTTGTGGGTTTACCATGAAAATTCCAACATGTCTCATTCGTATGTTATGATTTTTTTTGTAATACTCACACTATGATTTCCTCTTTGTTAGTTTCAACATCTTTTGATACAGGAGCTGAGTTATCATGTTCAATGTTAAAAGGAGATTCGGTGTTGCACAAATTAACTTTTGTCTAAACTCACATCTGAACTCAGAAAAGGCTTCTCAAATAAATGGTGGTGGTTTCCTACCGAGAATGCAACCTTTTAACTGTCGAAATTCGGATTAAAATCAATTAAAAATATATTGACTCTATCGTTTTCCTCTCTTCTTACCACGAGTGTAGTCATTTGAATTTTCCGAAACATCATCATAACATTGATCAAGTTTTTACCAAAAAGTTACCAACTAATTGTAATAGATAGTAGCATCATGATCATTCTGCTTAGATTTTTAAAGTTGAGTTTTTAACTGAAAATTTTGAAAAGAATTCTCTAGATCTGAGTCCTAAATTGTGTTTTCTTTACTTTGTGTTTGTATGCTTGGATTGAATGAGTTTGATGAATGTGTTTTTGCTATTTTAGATTTATTTTGATTCCTTCTATAATGAGTACAAAACTATTAACTTTTTTAGACTTTGACACTAAGGGTGTGTTTGGGGTAGCTTGTGCTAATTCAAATAAGCAGCTTTTCTTGAAATGCGGCCCGCTGAGTTTGATTTGTGGCCTGCAATTAGTGTAAAAACCCATCCACGTTTTTGGATAAGCTAGAAAAATGTGCAATCCAAAAGGTATGGTGGTGTTTTGAAAACCACGTCTGCACTTATAAGCTGCCCCAAACGTACCCTAAAATACCCTTTAGTATGTTAAATTTTTAAGGGTCTTCCATCAGATATTTTGAGTAGTGGGAAGAAATAGGTGAGGCTTTTCTATTGCAGGTTCCATAGAGTAGATGTGCAAGGCCATAACAAGAGAGTTCTCGGACAACCTTTTCAAATTAGGGTCACCAATAACAGGTTTCAAATTTTCTCCAGTTAAATACCCAATTTTTCCCTTTTCGTTGATTGTCAATTTTAAGTATTATTCCCGTTGGTGATAGTTGTGCCTATTGAGTTATGTAATTGTGATAGAGCATCCGGTCAAACCAAAGTGTTGTGCCAAAGAGTATGTCGTAAAGAGGGCGGTGACTCATAGGAATGAGTAAATCAAAACATATAAGTTGTGATAAAGAGTATGTCATGAAGGCGGTGACTCGTAGGAATGAGCATGTCGTAGCGACAGGGGCCCGAAAAGGGTGTATACCGGCAAAACAGTGACCCGAAAGTGGGCATATCGTGACGGCAGTGACCCGAAAAAGAGGGTATACCGGTAAGGTAGTGACTCGAAATTGGGCATGCCGTGACGGCAGGAGCCCGAAAAGAGGGTATGTCGTGATGGCAAGAGCCTGAAAAGAGGGTATGCCGGTAAGGCAATGACCCGAAAGAATGCAACTCAAGTAGATGATATTGATCATGCAGACAAACTTGTAAATGCACATACACAACATGCAAAGGAGTAAGTGGTAGGTCGATCGGGATAGAGCATCCGGTCAAACCAAAGTGTTGTGCCAACCAGGCCGGAGTAGTCGGCTGAAACATAAGTGATGTGACCGATTCAGGATAACCGACCGAAGATGACCCGAAAGAATGCAACTCAAGTAGATGATATTGATCATGCAGACAAACTTGTAAATGCACATACACAACATGCAAAGGAGTAAGTGGTAGGTCGATCGGGATAGAGCATCCGGTCAAACCAAAGTGTTGTGCCAACCAGGCCGGAGTAGTCGGCTGAAACATAAGTGATGTGACCGATTCAGGATAACCGACCGAAGCACAAGTGGTGTCCACCGGTCCGGGACGACCGATCGAGACACAAGTGGTGTCCACCGGTCCGGGACGACCGATCGAGACACAAGTGGTGTAGGTGCAAGTGCAAGTGCAAGATACAAGGTGCAAGTGCAAGTGTAAATGCAAGGTGCAAGATGCAAGTGCAAGTGCAAATGCAAGCTGCAGAGTGCAAACGTAAGTGAGATATATGACATACAATATGTAACATGCAAGACATACACATGCAAACAATGAGGTGCATATGAGCACATATGATAGCGAGTCACGCTTGTACTAACGACCTAATCTGAGAAACCTAAGGTTTAGATCATTGGATATGTTGCACTGCCGCCTCTTGTTTTGGTGAGGAAATGTGGTGAGTTTCTCCCCGAGGGGGAAACTCTCCATGGCGTCGCGAAATGGGCTAGCTACAAAACTTTTACCATTTCGTGAACTCTTCCAGACTTTGCGAAGCGAGCCAACTACAAATCTTCCTCGCTTTGTCAAGTCCGACCTCCTAGCTTCTTCAAGTAAAGCTGGGGAACCCAAAGCAATGGGAGTGAGGGACTCCGACCCTTGTGCTAAGTCTCACAACAAAATGGAGACACTCGACTCTACGATGGCTGTTTGGTTTCGTAAGAAAGATCCTAACCTAAAGACTCGCTCTAGTAAATCGACGATCAATCACATAGGTACGTTGATGCGCCGGCTCACGCAGGCGCGCGCACCCCATATGGGCGATCGAACCCACACACCTAGACACCACTAAAACTTAAGGTCAGCTAGGAGTTAGGAAATCTCACCACCGTGACGGTTGCAGACGCGTTGTTTTTATTTACTCCAAGCTGTCGACGTCCGGTGTCCAATCCGTGCGCTAGTGTGTCTCGCAATGAGCCATGCAACGAGAAATATAAGAGTTAGTGAGGGACACAAAATACCCGAAATAAATGATAAATCATATGAAAGTGCAAACGATACATATATCTTCGTAGCAGGGATCGCTCGACAACGGTAAAAAGGGGAACCTACGAGGATGTCGGAGAGGAGCGTCGGCGGAGACCTTCCCCTTGAGGCGGAAAACCCTCACACTTGCTCGAACAGCAACGTGCTCGTTGCCCGACGATTTCAAAGTGCTCCGGCGAAATATCTGGTCGCCGGAAAGGTAGGACGGCGATGTGGAGGACTTAGCTCGCCGGCGGTGCGCACTGGGATCGAAGGAAGCGCGGAGGAGAGCCAGAAATATGTTGTTTTCCTCGCTGATTTTCTCCGGCCGAAATACGACGCCGACGAATGACAAGGTCTGCGAGGAGGAAGAGATCCAGCGAAATAAAAAGAAAAACAAATGGAGGGGAAGAAAATTCCTCTTCACTGCTTTCACTCTAAGAGGCACCTCCAAAGCTTCCTCCAAACTTTCCGAAGGCTTCCTCGTGAGTCTCTCTCGAGCCCTCGCCGGATAAGAAGAAGGAGAAGAGGGAGAAGTGGCCGGCCAAAGTGGGAGAGAGACTCCATGTGAGCTCTCTCCTTCGCAGGTAGGAGCCTCGACTAGGAGGAAAGTTAGCGGTGGGGAGTTTTCCGGCGAGGCAGAGGGTTTCGGCGGCCTCGTTCGCCGGCTAGGAGGAGCCAACGGCGGGAAGCTAGGGCACGGGATGCCCTTTTGGCGAAAATAAGGGAGTCGCGAAAAAAAATCGGTCGGCAGTGTGCTTGAGTTTAGGGATTTCAAATTACTTTTTTTTATGATAATAATGTTATTTATTATTTAAACTCCTCTATTTGGGCGTTTTTCGAACGTGCACGGAACCCCAACAAGATAAGTGTTCTTCCTGGGTAAAATCGACGTTCCGGACGCGTTAGCACGGTCCGTTTCATCGTCCGGGGTAATCGGGACAACTTTGCTGACGATCGAGTCAATTTAAGTCAATTTCGTGCGCGACGCGACGAATAATGTGTCAACCCGTTCCGAGCCGTCTGGCACACAGAATGCCAACCGGTTTTCGCCCAGACAAAAGCCAAAGCCTAGCAAAATGACCTTGGCTATGTGCCCCCCCTCAACACAAAGGTCCGAAGTAGATGTCTCGCACTATAGGAGTCAACACATGCATTAAACAAAGTTTCTTAGCGCTCGAGCGGACACCCTACACTCGTGACATCAAAAATTGATGTCAACAAAGAGGTGTGTCTCTTGGATTAGTGGGTTGGGGGGAGCGAGGGCGTGTTTGTAAATTTATCTGTGTGTTTTATCTATAAATAGATGTGTAACCCCTATAGGTATGTAACTCATCTGAAATAGTGAATTCGCCGCTCTGCTCCCGAGAATGTAGACATCTTTGCCGAACCTTGTTAAATCTCTGTGTTTTTTTTCTGGATTTGTGTCGATTCCTGTTTTTCTTCGCCCAAAATTCCTCAACATTTAACTCATTAAGTTAGGATTTATTTTCTTGCAACAGTAGTTGAGAATTATTTTGCCGAGTTCTCCATTGTTGCCCTACCAAACAACTTACCTCCCTATGGGAACATTTATTTAGCTGCTCTTGTTTCCAAGTTCCATTTTTCATCATGATTTGAGTTTTCAAATTATTCAGCAAAACAAATCACATTGTAATTAATTTGACCTGTGATGCTGACAATTATTAGTCCTAACAGGTGTCGCGCCGAGGTTTCTTGTACAACTTAGCAGATTCTATGTATGTCTTGAATGCTTTTGAAGGAGTCCAGCGGAGTTGGTTTGTCCGTATTGATGCTGTCCCCAGGTGCACTGTCAAGGATCAGAAGGAACTTCCCAACAAAGTCACAGATGAGAACCTGAAGCATCATGATTATGCAGTTCCTGCCTGCAATGTGGATAAGCATCAGGAGGTTGTTTTTTGTGGGTTATCTTCTAAAAATTCTGGCTCTGATGGGCAAGAAAATCATACTCCAAACACAGACCGTGAATTTAGGCCAACTATGTTGACCGATCAAGATAAGGATGACAAAAGAGAAGATAATTGCAGTAATCTTGGCAAGGAATCTTGCACTCATAAAACAATATCGTCAAAAAGAAGTAAGTCATCACAACAGGATAAATTAATTGAAAGCCAATCAGAGCACTATCTTGTAAAGAAAAAAAGGGGTAAGAAGCTAAAGTTGCATGAAGAGCTTCTTGAAGACATCAAATTCAGAGGCAGTGAAGACATTAATGAATCTAATAAATCATCAATGATTCCTCAAGAAATTAATTGTGATGGAGAAAAGGGAGTTCTTGCTATTTCTTCAGAAGGATTGCCAAGTAAATTACCTCATGAAAATATCAAATCCCTTCAACTTCCCCCAGTTAAAAAGCATTCTAAGAAAAGGAAATCTAAGTCTTCCAAATCTTATGAAGAAATTGGTGAAGAGCATCTTGAAGATTGCAGGAGAGGGAGCAAATTTAGTGGTAGTGAAGACATTAATGAATCTAATAAATCAGCAATTGTTTTTCAAGAAATTAGTTGTGATGGAGAAAAGGAAATTCTTGCTATTTCTTCAGAAGGCTTGCTAAGTAAATTATCTCATGATAATATCAAATCTCTTCAAGATCCTCCAGTGAAAAAGCATTCTAAGAGAAGGAAATGTAAGTCTTATGAAGTGGCTCAAGTTGATATGTCATTTGACACTGCAGCTGTCAGATCACCTCAAGTAACAGTAAATCCACAGGATTCAGGAAAAGAGGCCAATGCTTCTATCTTCTCAGGAAAATGTTCAACTGGACCAAATAGCAGGGAACCATTGGCTAATGATCAGAGAGTTATGAGCGCAACACATGATATTGCAAGTTTTCTGAAAGTTCCCAACCAGAAAGAAACCAGGCATTCTATGGAAGTAAATAAAGTACCTATTGAAGAGCAGATTATTCAAGTCAATCCTGAAGATCAAAGAGAAGAGCATGCGTCAAGTAAACATACCAATGTTGTTGCCTCACTTAAAGAATCTGCAGGAGCGAAAGTTATTTCGCAAGTAGTTTCGAAATTTCCAACTAAGTTATACTGCAACGCAGAAGGATTACCAAGTAAATTACCCCATGAGAACATCGTATCTTTTCAAAATCCCCTAGTTGAGAAGCATGCTAAGAAGAGGAAAAGGAAGTCATCCAAACCTCATGAGGAGGCTCATCTTGTTATGCCAAATGTTGTTAGATCGGATTCAGGGAAAGAGACCAATGCTTCTATCTTCTCAGGAAAACATTCCGCGGAACAAAGTATTGAGGAATCATTGGCAAATGATGAAAAAGATATATGGGCATGTACAAGCCTTTTGAAAGTTGCCAATACGAAGGAGAGCATACATTCTATGGAAATAAATAAAGAACCTATTGAAGAACGCAGTACTCAAGTCAATCCTGAAGGTCAAAGCGAAAAGCATGTGAGTTCAGATCAAGATGCCAATGTTGATGTCAGTCTTAAAGAACCTGCAGAGGTTAGAGTTTCTTCACAAGCAGCTTCTGAATCTCCAACTAAGTTAAACTGCAGCATCGATAAGTTGAAGAGTCAATCAAGCAAAATTTTAGAACCCAAGGAAGCATATTATCAGGAAAGCAGGAGTTCTGATGCTACCAAGTGTATCAGAGATTTGCATTTGGGAGAAACTGCTGCATCTGCTGAAGGGTTCCCTTACCAAGAGCAAGCCACCAATGGAGTTTCCAATCTGAAAGGAGCCAATGAAGCCTGCTTTTTGGCAAAAGTTGATTCTAAAGAGCGAAGCAAGTCATGGCGTAGCAGGAAAAAATCAAAAGCTGGGTCATCTGGAGTTTTTGAGTCTACACAACTAGATGGAAATAAAGATGAATTCAATTTTGATAATGCTCAGATGTCCTTGAATGAATTTCAGAATGAGTCCAATGCTGGAAAACATATAAAACGAGCTGATCAGAAAGCCAATGGTGGCCTTATTGTAGATGCTATGATTAAAATGTCCTCGCCCTCCAAGAAGGTTCCCAAACAAGATGAAGTATCTAACATGAATTCAGGTAATCCTCCAATTTGCATGCCTAATAATTTAAATGAAGTATCCAAAGCATTTGATGAACAAGCTGCAGAGATCAGAGTTCCTTCACAGGCATCTTCTGAAGCTCAAGCTAAACCGGCCCGTAGCAGGAAAAAGTCCAAGAGTGAACCATCTAAACTTGGGTCTGAAGAAAATTGTGCTGTCTTGTCAAAATTCAATGGCGAGGCAACTGAATCCAATGAAGAAAGAGCGTTTGAACCATCTAAATATGCAAGTGAGTGCAATCAGAAAACTGAGCTGCATTGCATGGATGCAATGGTGTATGTCCCACTTCCTGATGAAAATTCTTCAAAGCTAGGTAAAGTTCCTCAACTGAATCCCTCAGAATTCTCAAATTGCAGGCTGCAAGATGACAATGAGCGATACAGAATCATTATTGAAGGCCATGTTACTCAGTATGAAGCTCTGGCAGGTCCCACTAAATCAAAGTGTGACAGGAAGAAGTCCAAAAAGGAAACATTAAAAGCTCACGTTTCTTCAGAAATGATTGAACCTACGGGTTGTTGCAGACCAGATGAATTTTCCATAAAATTTGATGATTATTTTGTTTCCAAGGAAGGTAAGCATAGTCCAGCTGTTCACGCAGCAGTTCCTTCTTCTGGAAAAACTGAATCTAGAAAAAAAAAGAAGAGCAGGAAAAATGATATAAACCAACCTTATCAGGATTCTCCGAACTTAACTCAGCCTTCTTCGCATAAACAGCATACGGCTATTAGCCAGCCTCTAGAAAATGGTACACGTAATGATACAGGCAATGTCATACACGATGCTGGAACTAAGGATTCTGAGACTGGAATTATAGATGAAGCTAAAAGCACAAAGCAATCAACTAAGCAAAACTCATCTTTGGGTAGAATTGAATCTGATTCATCTCTCCATAAGGCTCATGATAATCACAAGCTTGAGAAGAAGCTTCAGAATTATGAGCCTGAATCACATGTTCAGCTATCAAAATCAGGGGCTATGGGGAATAAAGAAGGGAAGAAAATCACCCCAGAGGGGAAGGGAAAGACTCAATCACTAGCACCCGATCATCACATTGACAATGTGGATTCCAAAGACGGTATACACTGCAAGGAACACAATCCTTCAGCCATTAGTAATTCTAACGGAGATGCTGTTGGCTCAAATATTTTTTATGTTTCTGAAAGTGAAGCCGTGGCCACTGAGCTGACATCAAGTGATAGCACAGAGGACAAGCCGTATCAGAAAAAGCGATATAGAGTTGTTAGAAAAATTCCAAGCAGAATTTCTAAGAAAATAACAAATAACTCTAATGTTGAAAAATCGCGGCTGGTGTCCTCAGGTAGGATATTTAGTGATGCTTCAGTTACAAGCTCTGAGAGTGAAAATGACCCTTACAAAAAGAAGGCTGCCATTAAGACTACTTTAGATGATTCATCCATATCTGGAGACTCAGAGAGTCCCCTTGAAGAAACCCAGACTAAGGCCAGTGCATTGAAACTGTGGAAGGACACAAACTCCTTTGGTATGATGTATTTTTTATTTCTTTTTTCTCTTTTTTAATTTTTGCCGAATTTTTTTGATAAGGAAAATATGTTGCTTGGTGATAAAATTGTTTGGGAAGGTGCGGAGTCAGATGAAGGTGTTGAAATTAGTCAAGAAGCTGATGGTAGAACCGAACTTTATAATAGGTTAGTATGCTCACTTATTATGGTATTGTAACAAAATCAGCTGTTTTGATTCTATTTTCTGTGTTCAGATCTGATGCCACAACGCAGAAAATGCCTCTCAGTTCTATTCTCAAGAGCTCGATCAGCTTCAGGAAGTCCAAGCTTACCGCTTCCCAGTCAGAGTTTCCTGACGCTGAAAACCAGCCGATAGATGGGGTTCTCGGGACAACCTGAATTCGCCGCGCCATGAGAACTTCCTACTCCCTACTATATATATATATATATATATATATGGATGAGCATGAGGTCAGCTGCAATTTTGGATTATTATATCAAGGCATTCAAGCTAAATGGATATTAATGAACATTTTATGATCATTTAGTTTACGTATGTTTGTCACTGATACGATTATTCATGAGCACATTTTTAAATGAATACTAATTACCAGTTTTTGTAAGATTTCTGCCCACGTTTTTGGCTGATACGAAGGAAATTGTAGTGAAACTTAGTTTAATAAGGATATCTTAGTATGCTTTGTATTAACATAAGAAAATATAATGATAAAAATAAAGGTAATTTTTTGTTAAAATATATTTAACTATATATGTAAACATATCGTATTATTAAGAAGACTTGAGCAATCTTTAGTTTAGGCAGATGTTTTATATTTATTGCTTAATTTTATGCAATTTTTTTCATCTGTACTAATTATTGATAAATGAGGTTTTATTTATTTAGTTTTTGCAGTATTATGATTAAAATGAAATGTATATGATGAAAGTACTATTGTAGCTATACGTAGGTCTTGACTAGATGTTTAAAATAAAATGGCAAATTGTGGGCATCTTTGGAGCTATTGGTGTGAAGGAACTTAATTAAATTTTCTATTGTTTATGAGCTGATCATGAAAAGTAGTAATTGAAAAAAAAAACATTTAATTTAATTCGAGTTACCATTCTCCAAATACAACTTTTCGTATCAGCTGTGATATTACTAGTTTTGCAAGGCCTGCTCTACTGTGTTTTCTCGTGATTTGTGATACATATAGAATGATTTTAATTTATGGGGGGATAAATTTTTGCCTTTATGAATTATTTTTCTTTTTAATTTAATGGAAATTAGATTTAGGTTGTGGACCTCATCATATTTGATCATGCCTTTTTTTTTTTCCTCTTGGAGAAGTATATGATATGAATGTATATATTACATATCCTATTTAATCATGGGACTTTTATCTCAATCATTTCAGCGAAGCTCCTTGTAACACTTGTGCTCAAATTTCTTGCTAGGCCAAGCCACTTTGGACCGTCAGATAGAAGATTTGGTAGATAAACCATCCTACTTTTTTAATATATATATTACTTTTTCCAAATATTTTACTACATTATTTGACTCTCTCATCCATTAAAATCATTTTGATTATAGGGCAAACTTGCGAGTCTCAAATTTCTTCTATCTTCTGATGCCAATTTATCTTTCGTTGCATAGGGACTTAATGACATTGTTTTGAATCTCTTAGAAATAGTTTAAAAGCCATATCTTATCAGTATGGCATAAGCCATGCCATCAAACCTTTCATTATGCTTATTCTCTTGTGATCAAGCAAGTATTTTGGAGGGTTTTAGTAATTATTAGGTCTCGACACTTCTGACATTTTCTAATTATTGAGCAGAAAATTCAATCACTCGATGTAAGGGTCTAAATAGATCCATCATATTATATATGCTAAACTAATTTCCACTCTGGCTCACTCTCTGGAAGAATTCAGTGTTCACACTACTTAAGCAGGCTAGCTCCTCATCATCTACTCATTCATCGAACAATTCAACTTTTTTATTTTGATTTAAGATTTCCAACCTTTGTGAGAATACTGCTAAGATTAAAACAGATTATGTAAGAAGATAAATAAGAATAAGAATGAGGCATTAGGCCATAAGGATTAACATTTTTTCTACCAAAATACACACACACCTCTTTATCACGATTTCTCTCACCTTCTAGACCGGGCTTCATCTTAGAGAAAACCCAAAACAAATTATCACATACACCCAACACAGGAATCCCCTTCTTTAAGGACTCTCTGCCTCACCATCGATTCTCATCAAACCTTTTTTACCAGTTACCACCACCCAACACGCAGAAATACAGGCGTGACCGATTTCTACCTTTAATCCCCTATAAACTACAAAGCACCAAAAACAAAAAAGAAACATGATTCTCTACAAGTGGTTACCCACTATGATTCCTGGAGTAGAAGTTTCTGAACCGACGCACCCACGAAGGCTTTATTTCACCGTAGCCGGTGCATTGCTCTGCCCCTTCCTCCTCGCTGCTAAACAGGGTCTGGTCGGAGCAGTCGAGGCCAGCTCCGCACGCCGAGTTATATGATCTACATGCAGAGTGGCACACTCGAAGCCGGTTATCCCCATCCTTGTCGCAACGTTGGATCGATATCTGAAGAAACAAATGCTTAAAACATAATTAGGATTCAAGAATTCAATGTCACAAATATCATTTAATAGATATGGAACACAATATTTACCCAACAAGCTAGCCGCTTGGCAGCAGCAGCACAATAGCCATTGTCAAGGATGCTCAGCAAGGTTTGACCAGCTGGCATCAACCGATTGTAGTTAGGCATGACAACAGCTGTTTCAAGTTGTTGTAATATGCTTGCCTCGCTCGGGGCACAGTGTTGTTCAAATCCATCGTGGGCCAGCACATCGCTGCAAATGGAGAGGCTGGGTAGCAATGTGGAGCTGTTCTGGCAGGTATAACCAGCATAATCGGAGCAACGAAACTCGCATGCACCATTGTCACAAACACCACCATGCAAGCTGCATTGCTCGTCGCATATGGCTGCACATCAAAATAAATAGACAATGTCTAAAAACAAATATTGATGGATTAAGTTGTGGAGAAAATTGCAGAACCATTTGAGGTGGTGGTAGCAAAAATAAAATACCAGTGGAGCAATCGATCCCAGTTCGTCCATTCTCACATGCGCAGATTCCATTTGAATGGCAGGTTCCATGACCACTGCAATTGTTTGGGCAGGATCCTACAAAATAAACAAAGGTTATGAAGTAAAGTAAGCGCTCACATACACCCCAGAACCATGAAGCTGCCCACCAATGTCACAATGATGTAAAAATATAAACTTGAATAGAGCTTATCGGATGGAAGAGAAATGGGGAAAAAAAACATTGCAAGAAACTCACGCATGCTGCAATCATCCCCATAAAAACCGAGAAAGCAAAAACATTTCCCATCGATACAGTCACCATTGAAACTGCAAGAGGATGGACACTGCCCATTAACAGGAACAGGAATATAGCTACAAAGCTCATGATAGGCTGGACAAATCAGTTCACCTACAGCATCAAAAGAGGCTTAAAAAATAAATTAAGTGCAACAAAGCACCACTTTCATACTCCCATCCATAATTGTGGCAGTACCTACCATTGAAACCAGGAAATTGGATGGGACCACCTACTTCAGGACATGCTTTCCACACCCCATCAACTGCAACCTAACCACACACAAATTAAAATTACTGTCACAAATTCAATATTTGTACAAGTTTGGCATCCGAATCCATACAAAAATATTAATTTTATCAAAGGAGCTAGTTGATCGGATGTTGCAAAAATACCTCTAATGTGTTATTGGTGCACTGATGTTGGTAACAACCATTCCCTTGAGTCATTGATCCTCTAACAAATCCAGTTCGTACCAGAGATGAAGCCATACACCTGCAGCCAGTGGCATTTTACATGTGATAAATGCGCATAAACAGATTCAAGCGTGCCCCACATCTCAATCATCTTACCTAGAGTTACTCGCGCGAACCTCGCCTAGCATTCTGTCGGGTGCGCGGGCACTATTCATATCAGTGCAAGATCCATCAGAATATGCTACAAAGTATGTGCAATAGTCGGCCAATGATGATTGCCCACCTGCATTGACAAATAACAAGATGAAAACCATATGGAACATGCAAAACTATATTAAAAACTGCCACATAAACATAAATGCTTAAAATAGGAAAATGAGCTTCAAAGCAAAAAGTATTTATACAACAATACATATACTATATGATATGCAACACCTTTATTGGGCTGTGGAAAATATTGAGCCCATTGTGGCAAATCTCCACTGTAGCTTACAATAGGGCAGTATCCTTCGGCTTCCCTATTATATGTACAACCTGATATTTGTGTCGTATTGCAATGATATGCCGCCTTCCAGAGATTACAAGGCAGGGTTACAAACTCTGTCCCCTGATTTCTGCCCCAACCAAGATGATCTGCCATGCTATAATTAGCTCTATACCAACCACTATCTTCTAATAAAGCCAAAGTCATTTTCGAAACTACTGATCGAGTATCTACTGATCCTGTCATAATCTCATTCATCAATAGCCTTTTCTCCCAATGTGACCCTGAATACAACAAAAACAAACAGTACAATGAAAAATAAATTAATTGAACAAGCTATTACTCCCAAATCATGAAACCAGATGGCAACCATGCAAATACCAGAGGTGCCTTTCCCGCCTCCGTCTTCCAGCTCTAAGCCTGTAAAGTTTTCCGAGAAAGCCTGAAGAAAAAGATTACGAGACAGCAATAAGCGAGCAGGAAACATTAACAATGTTGTATGTACAAGTCATCATAAGAATTCAAATGTAAGAACAATTTTGCTTACTCCATAGTGGTGCCTAGAATGCATAACCACACGAGGAAGAACCACACGGGTCACCATTCGACCAAGCTTCTTGTCCATAACTTGTACAGTAACCTACATAAAAATAAGATGTTTTGAATGCTCGTAGAAACCTTATGCTCAAGTAAGTTGTGTTGCCATGGTTTCAGGCATGAGTGATTTCTTCATGAAATTTATGAGCAAAGATGTTTCCATACACTCAAATAAGTGGAAATGAATCCCTTCTTTAACAAACAATATCATAACAAATCAATAACCAATAAAAGAGGTTTTAAGTGGTTTAATTTTATAACCAACATCATTTGTACATGAGGATTAGATGTTCTTATAATTCTCATGTACAATGCTCTTCTACTCAATATATATGCAGAGTCATCAAAACTTAAAGAGTACAACCACTTCCGAGCCAAAGATTAAAAAAGAGGATAGTGGCGGTTCAACTCAACTCCAAATTGCAGCAAGTTCTTGTAAGAGGACCTCACAAAATTCAATTAAAGCATTAGGAGGAAGAATGTTGAAGAAGAAAACATTGTGCATCCTTGTGCACGAGTAAATTTTTATTAGAATTCTGTGTCAACTTGTTTATTCACAATCTTCAAACAGTCAAATCAATGGATAAAGCTTGGACAAATGGCTACTTGAGCAATCAACTTCTCGTTGATATGAATACGTCACTCTTGATCAATAACAATTAAGCATCACTAAGGTGTAACTCAAGGTAATTGAGTTAGAAAGCAATCATAAGAAGTTGTTAGACTTTGCTAACTGCACGGGCAATTTTGAACAAGAATTTCTTAGTCTGCCAAAACAAACATGTCAACCCCAAGCAAACTTTGAAGAATTCTTTCAAGACGTTGCCCTCTATTATTGAAGAGAAAAAAAAAAAAAAACTACCGCCAAGAAAGGATTTTGAGAAGAACTGATAGGACATTAAGAAGTTGATTAACACCACCAAAAAATTAGAGGAAAAAAATAGGGTTTCCTTAAAAAACAACCATCCAAGTGGCCTGCACAAAATTCTAAAACTATCATCCATGAATATCAAGATAGCGATTGGTAACGTAATGATGCACTCGAATCTATCAAGCAGAGCTTTCAAATCTTCATACAGAGCTATCAACAAATGGAACTTAATTACTCGTTCCCTTGGCCATCTAAAATCTTGTTCCTCTCAAATATTCAAGTTGGCATGAGCCATTCCAACAAGCAACTTCAGAACCAGCTCCTCCGATGAGGAGCTCATGGCTAATATTTCTTTACCACACTCAAATCTCACTAGCCGAAGTTTAGCCATTGTTGCTAACTGCATTGATTGATAATAAACTCATTCAAATATTCATCATTGATCAACTACTCGATAAGACCCTTCAACGAATGACAATCATCATTGTTGTGTCCATAACAACTATGATAGAAATAAATCTTATGTTTATCTCTCATCTTTGTTGATCTCCTCAAGGAATTAGGCCATCTAAAATACTTATTTTGGATGATCACCATGATTACAGAGTTTGAGTGATTGGGGGGTCAAAAAGTTTGAATGGCGAAGCCATACAATTATGATGACCATTCCTTATAAATAAACCTCCCCAAGGGGGGAAAAAAAATCATTCAATCATTGTGCTTCTTATTAGACTTAGGTTGAGAAGCATGACCATTATTTTTCATTAGATTTTGCAGCAGCCTTTGAAAAAGATAGGTTGAAACTAGAAAAAAAAAATTAGCATTGACCGATTTGGTTATCACATGTAGCACCAACGGCTTAGGTTGATTCTGGTTGAAAACAAACATACATAGGCCCTCGTTTAAACCAAGAACGAAAGCTTTTTCTATTGATGAATCGACATCAATAACCTAGTGAGTGGCCAGAATAAAGCTTCACTACATACAACCTCAATGTCTCATTCACTTCTTTGATTAATGTAAAGAAGGATGTGAGAAGTCTTTAGAGGCCTCTAGAAGCTATAAATTAATGCAAATCACTAGATTCTTCAGTAATCGATTGAAGCGATGCTTCATGGAAGGTAGTCAACAAAACAACCTCAGAGCAAATTTTTTTTGGGTGAGAAACAATATACTTTTTCATCATCAAATTTTACAAATCAAGCAAGTCCTTGTAATAAGCTAGGTAGGAACTGTTGAATTTTAAATGAAAATATGCCACTCAATAAGACGCAATGGAGAAAAAGGATTCATGTAGCCGACCCCACTTAGTGGGATAAAGGCTTGTTGTTGTTGTTGTTGTTGGTTCCTTCAAGTTCTACAAAATAACGTTTAAAAAATACGATGAACCATTGACTTTCAACAAAAACAACCTAATGAGAGCCTTCCATCTCAAGCATTTGTTATTCTAATAATAGATTGGTATGGTATCCAAATGGATTTGAAGATGATTGAGTGAAAAAGCAACTTTTCAATAAGACTTTTTTCCTTGAGTGCCAATTTTGTAATGAAAGGTAATGAAATCATTAAAAAAAATTACATGCAGACAATATTGATTTGATCATCATAGCTATAGATCAATTTGATTAATAGAATTGCTATAATTATTTAGAAGTTCATAATAAAAAAACAATAAAAATTGCATCAACTAAAGAAATGAACAATTCATAACACCATTCTTATGGATCTATTTCAAAACAAATTCAAATGCACAAAAACATATGCGAACTGATATCAAACGATTCAAATTTCCGTTAGAAAATAGTGTAAGGGTGATATTCATATGAAATGTCCATACATATTTGATGTAAGTGAATGAAATAAAAATAATGAGTTCACCAAAATAAAAGACAGCGAACATTTTAAATAAAAAAAAAATGAAGCAAGCTACAGCTCTTACCCCCACACTCTTAGTCACTTCAATTATCATTAACAACCAGTGAACAACATTTTAAATCTGTAGAAATTGAAATTAGATATTGTTTATCTTGCCAATCCTTCAACAACCAAGCCCTTAGCCCTTTAATCCCACTACAATTGATAAGTATGGTCACCATCATCATCATTAGCATTATCCAACTATTTAGGGTCAGTGTATCGGCCATAAAACTGGTAATGACTCAAATGAATAGCATAAGAAAATAGAATATTTTCATATATAAAATATTAAGAAAAGGTAAAAATCAAGTGGATCATTTAGAAGGGTAAATGTCACTTTTTTGACAGACAATTATTTGACTACAATCTCCTGGAGCCCTATACAAAAAATAAAAACTAGCCCTAACTACGTGCAAACCGAACACCATATAAAAAAAGTCAAAATCAAATTTAAATGTTATTCACAATCCAAATTTAAAGATTATGCATATAAGAATACTCAATTTAACTAAGTTAAGCTATAAATGAACCAAGTTAGATTTAACATGACCCAAATTTTAAAATCTTATCCAAGCTTATTTATTATTTTCTTATTTAGTTCAAGCAATAATCAAGCACAATTAACTATGAGTATGATACCAAAGATTTAAATAAATAGCCTTATTATTACTAAGCATTTATAGACACGTTACTTTTTATTAAATCTATCAACCATGTTCTTAGCAAGCACATATAAGACGCCAATAAATGCAATCGCATTCCAATTTGGCTCTCAACTTTCTTCTCATTCCATCATGCTTTATCATGATAAAAGAACCAAAAAGTAACTCCCTAAGTCTCATTAATATTTAAAATTATGCCATTTCTTGCCTTCTATTATTGTTCTTCTTCCTTTCTGATTACTTGCTTGAGTAAAACTTCTTCCTTCCAATTATATTGCATAACAATCACAAATAAAATTAAGGAGGAAGCAATTGAAGAGCAGTTACCTTACTGTGCCTTCTTTTTCTTTCATTGCGAAAATGTGCAAAAGCATGAGGGTCAAAACCTAGAACATGCATGACCTGCAATGAATGCATGGAAAAGATATATCAGGAATACTTGGAAAGTAATAAGCTGTTGAAAGTTTAAGGTCCATAAATAAGTATCAACCTCATGTATTAAAGTAGCTGAAAGTAGAGTTTCTGCTTCGGCATTCAAATGACGTGGAGCAACATTCACGTGCCCTGCAAACCACATGAAATTGGAGATTTAGGAAATCATTGTAAGCCATAAAACATGAAATCTAGCATGGCCTGATAAAAACATTTCACCAGCAATTGCACGACCCCATTGGTCACGTTCACATGCAACTGCCCATGCAAGGGTATTTCCAGTAGTTGGCCGAGTAGTAACCAAAAGAACAAGATCTGCATCTGCAATACCATCTGCATAACAAAACAAATAAAGCTAAGACGGACGTTAATGTAACCCATAGAGTTGACAAGAATTGTGTGGAGAGACAAGTTTCTACATTCAATGTACTCATGTGGAAGCTGCACCCCTCCATCCTGACCACATGCAGAATAACCACTCAATCTCAAATTCCCCTTTACAGGTTCAACTGATAGAGCCCGTTTGAACCAATCTGCAGTTTTCTCAAGTGCCTGGTCCGGAGAATAGAAATTAAAAAAAAATAGTTATGAATCAGAAGATTACCACATTGCCACACACAATCATAACAGCAGAGACTTATTGATAACCATGCAAGCATAATAATGGAGAAGCAAGCAAGTAACCTTGCGTAGCCGCTGCTTCTTATCATCTCCAGCTATATCTTCAATGGTACAATTGTACCAACAGTCAACAAAAACTGGTGGATCCCCATGAGGATCACAAGTAGGGTTTCCAGGCACCGAGGCGGCTGGAGGTTCACCAAGCTTAAAGAAAATATTCTAAATCAGAATAATTCTATATTGCAACAAATTGCAAGGTAACAAACCTACAAACTACACTAAGTCCATTGAACTGTATCAACAAACCTTCACAACATCTCCAACACATCTGCAATCTCTATCTGTGGAGTGCCCAACGGCATCATAGTTTAAATATATCCTAATTGGATGCATTGAATCCTTTGGTTGTGAGGACGGAGATGAAACTGAAAGCAACGCCCTTCTTCTGTGGGCTTGGCTTATGGATGAATCAAACTCCTGGTAAACCTGAGGGGTGACAGAGTACTCCTTGCGCCCCGGACGCCGCCTCTGATGGAGTATTTCATCGTGTATGCAAGAATGTGACAGGTAAGATCCTGTTTCATAGCCTTGTGGATGAACAAACTTCCCATCCTCAGATTTCACAATCAGACTCCCGGTAACAGTGGAAAACAATGCCGCGATCTAAACAAACAAAAAGATGCAGAACAGATACTTAGAACATTTTCCAGTCCTAAACCTTAAAAAACACTGCTTTAAAAGCCAGCTTAATCGAATCGGTGTACAAGAGTAGGAATCTGAAAGAATGTTTTTTTATGCGACGATCAAGCTTCCAATATACGTTGGTTATGTCTGATGCAAGCCAGAACAGGATAGATCAACAATAACGCAAAGTTCACTGAAAATATATATGAGACAATGTAAGGGAAAGGAATAAATACATTTCCGAAGAGGGGAAATCCACTCATACAAAACAATGAATGTTCGGCAGCATAAACCAGTAAAAGGACAAATCGGAACTTGTAAAACAAATTAGACACATAAATGAAAACCCTAATCGAGGCCAACTCTAAATTCCTCCCCCTCTACAGCCAAGCAGCCATTTTAAACCCAAAATATACAGCAGCATCATAAAACCCTAGCAAATTCGATGAAACAATTAACCGGCTGAACAGCCCCAAACAACAAAAAATAAATTAAGAAAAAGCCAAATTAGGTAAATAAAGAGAAATTATCAGAGTGGCGAGGGAAAACACCTGTATTGCAACCAACCAAAAAAGAAGTCTTGATGGAATTGCGAACCCACATCCACATCCTCCCCAGGCTTTCACCTCCATCAATAGGGCACACAGCTACTCAACCCGGTGGCTTCCATCAAACCACCAGCTGCAACTTCCACCTCCGATCCAAAGCAATCGACATATTTTTCCTCCTCCCCGGAGTGAAAGAAGTCTGTTTTCGCGGCCGACACAACCAGCCCCCACTTCACCGCTTCAAATTTGGTCCAATTCGACGTAGGAGCTCGGACGAAAGAAATTCAGAGCTCGGAACTTTCCTGCAGCGAATGCAGCGGAAGATGGGTACTGGCGGGTGAGAAAGTTCCGGTCCCCGCAGAGAGAGAGAGAGAGAGAGAGAGAGCGAGATGATCTCAGCAGTGGGTTCTCCACTACTGGAGGCGAGGGTTGGAGGATGAAGAGAGAGAAAATCAGGGGAAGAAAATCAGGATAAAAAATTGATAATGCAATACATTTGGACAAAGTATTTACATAAATTACAAATATGCCAATATTTGAGAGGGTTGCTGGCGTGTTGCCATTGCGCTACCTGGCAGTTGGCATATGGATTAGGTTGGCTGCTTTACCAACCTGCATCTATTATAATCATAAGAAATTATTGAAAATAATTCAAATAAATTTTATATTTTTCATCAAACTCTATTGAAATAAATTTATTTAAATAGAATATGCATGTTGTTTACAACAACAAAAAAATCAATTGAATAACAAATGATGGGGACGAGAGAAATGAAAAATAATATTAGATATGTGTTAGGTGTTAAATTATTTATTGCAGAGTAAGTGAGAGAAAAAATAATCCTTGTTGGTCCTTTCCATTTCTTTTATAAATCTTGTATGTCAACTAATACAATTTATGTATGAGAAAGAAATCTAATACAATACATGGAGATTATGCAATGAAGATTAAGTTATGCATAATAATTCAATATATATATATATATATATATATATATTGAATTATTATGCATAACTTAATCTTCATTGCATAATCTCCATGTATTGTCATTGATTTTTTCGGATACTTTCTTACATGAATTGATCTTGAACTAATTCAACTCTAATTAAAATTGTCTAGAATTTGTTCGGGACAATTTTATCATTATTTTGCTTTTCAAGTTGCTGTCACAAATCTATTTAACTGGTACAGTTTAGATAGAAATCCTTTTTTTTAATTAGATTTGTGAAAATATGATAGTTATTGAATCTTGAATTGTCTAGAGACTCACCTCATGGGAATAGCTAGAAAAGGAGAAAAGAGAGAATAGAAGATAAGAAAAAATCGAGAAAAGGTGATATATGGCTTGTGTACTTTTCTGATGTTTTGGGGAAACAACATGTTGATTAGTGCATGGATTTTTTCTAGCTTAGTCTTTATTATCTCAAGGGTTAGAAGATAGCCTAAAATTTTATTTGTGATGCTTCTAATGTGCACTTGGGAGGATTGGGCTTCATGTTAATTTTCTTAAAGTTCAAAGGTGTCTTTCAAAATTTGTATGTGTTATTCGCGTGTTTTATTTTTTATTAAGATGTCATTCACATATACTTCAATATTTTTCTGACAAAAATTACAACCATCATGTGCTTCTAAGTAGTGCAAACGTTTCTTAATCCGAGCAATGCCCTCTCTCTCTAGTGATGAATATGGTATTTTCAGTGACGGTCAGATATATCTTGATCTGATGGAAGCTAGAGAAAGCATCGACAATGCCAATCACGAAATGTTCATGATCAAACATTGTGTTCACGAGTGTGTCGATTTGCGGCAGGGAGTAGCTGCCCTTCAAGCAAACAGTGTTTAGATTGGTGAAGTCAATGCACAATCTTCACTTGTCAATTGATTTTGCACCATGACGACGTCTGTCATCCATGTCGAGTACTAGAACTCTCGGATGTAGCTGACCTCTAACAGCTTTTATACCTTCTTCTGTATTTGCTCAGCTAGAGTGACGGTCGATGTCCTCATCATCTATTTTATTGGTCGGGTTATTGGTTGGGCTATTGGTTTGATGTTCAGGCAGTGGCCTCGAACGTAGATTGATATTCGAGGCTTCTTGGTGGTGGACTAGGTAAAGACATCATTGTGGCTTCGAAAGGTGTCGAACAACGTGTCCTTATAATCTGCATCAAAAACTCCAAATAGTATACAAAATTTACCAGTGTTGTCTTTGGTCACAGAGATTTGATGAGTGGCTTTGATGGTCTTGAAACCCCCTTATCGCAGTTTATCGAGCTCAAGGGGCTCCATTTTGGCACTACTGATTGCTTGGAGATAGCAGGTGCAAGTCTGTTCAAGATTACCCCGGACGATGATCAATTTTTTGTTGTCCATGCACTTTAGAAACGAATGGTAGGTGAAGGTGACCGCCTTGAAAGAAATGAGCAAAGGATAGATGAAGATCATGTTGTAGGTAAGCGCTGAGTCAACCACTATGGAGTCCTCCAACTACTGGCTTTTCTCCTTATGTAATTGGTAAAACAACGGTTCCCCATGCCTCTTTTCATTTGCTAGAAAAATCATAGAGTGGCCTAGTCATAGTTGCTAGTCATTTTGTCCCGAGCCCATCTTTTCAAGCATCGATTTAAAAAGAACATTCACGGCGCTACCAGTGTCGGTGAGAATACAACTTATATTTTAGTTGGCTAACATTACGATTACAATGAGAACTTATTGTAGGGATTACCCTTAAGGGACAAGTAATCATCGATGAAGGCTGTTAGGAGATGTGAGTTTCATTTGGGCATGAAGGCAGTTACTTATAGATCTTCCGACCAAAGCCTTTTTAGGTTGGTTTGGCGGAATGAATCTCCTCCTCCAAAGATAGAAAGAATTACATCAGCGATTAGATTTTGTGAGCTCATTCTTGTTGTTTGTTTTTTCCTCAACTAATGTCTTCCCCTGCCGCCTGGTCATTTCCCCAGGTACTACAAACTCCTTCATTTTTTCTTACCTTGATCAGATATTTGATCAAGCCTCGGAGGTGTCGGTACTCCTCTATGTCATCAACGCGGTCATGGTAGATGGCACAATACTTCTTTGGATCTCAAAGGTAAGCTCCAGCTTTCATTAAGGGCACTTTCTTGAAATAATTCTTATTTTGGATGACATCAACTATCTTGGCCATTGAGACCCTGAACAGAGTCAGTATCTCATGGTTAGGTGGTGGTCATTACGCATATTGTGTCGAGCGCTGGTCAAAATACTAAGTTTGATTCCCTCGGTGGTGTATTCTATCAGCAGTCCTATGATCCTGAGGCTGTCGGACATCTTGTAAGTGAGGGCAGGTGAAAGGATTGGATTATGTCTTGTCCTCCACCCTTTTCCTTAGGTGACCCTCTTTGGTAGGTTATAGGTGATATATACTGCTCTGGAGGAGGTGGGTGGAGTTATACTTCTTAGTTGATATGTGGTTGATGACCATTTCCAACAACTCAATTAGAGTCTTCAGTCACTGTAGGCTTAGCAAATACATGTTTCAGATCCCGCAATTGAAAGGGTCCTTCATTCAGCCACTGAGCTAGGGCGGCATAGGCTAATACATGTTCAAGATCCTGCACTTCCAACATCATCATATTGAAGTGGGTGATAAATGAGCGCAGGCTCTCGCTCCGCCCCCGACGAATTTGTAGGAGAGTCTATGAGCTCTTCTGAGGTTTCTGGACGCTAGCAAATTGTATTTAAGATCTCACTTGAAATCAACCAATGATGTGATTACTCTCGAAAGTAATTTGTTGAACCATTTGTGGGCTGATTATCTTAGTACGGTAAAGAAAAGATGACATATTAGCATGTTGATGATCCTCAGTAGGCACACAATCAAATCAAATGAGGTTATATGATTGGTTTGTCCCTTCTAAAACTTTAGTGTTAGGATCTTGAATCGCTTTAGGGGTTTGGCTTCAAATTTTTTCCATAAGAATGTGCTCCAAGGTTGACGGGATGCCTCAGCCCACCTGAACCATTGTCGCTTGATTGGTGTTGACCCAACATTATTGGGTGATCATGCCTCAAATGACATGCAACATATGATCATTTAATTCTTGGATGTGTTCGGCCACGAATTCTCCAGCGCACTTCTTGTTGCTAGTGTCTCTGTTATGGGGCTCTTCTTTTTGGGCTACTTATTTTCTTATTTGTGGTGTGATTCACACTCACCACATCTTTCATAATGTTAAATCTGAGATTGTCATGTGTAAATGGGAGAGAGAGCAAGACAATAATGAATAAGATGTATTTCATTAATAGTTTCCTCTATTTATAGGGGAGACGAAACAATTGTTATATTACATTTTTACTCCTGTTAGGAAGGAGTATGTACTACAGTATTTCTGATATTTTACATGTATCGACTTGTAGTTGAACTTCCTTGTGGCTCGCCTAGATAAGCTTAGTTTGTCCCCAGAAGCCTATTTGTGTGACATCAAAAAATTGATGCCAACACCCAATTCGACCCATCGATTCGGAAGTCTTTGCCTCAAGCACTACACGTTTGTTCGTCCCCAGAAGCCTATTTGGCCCTGTTCTTCATCACCTGAAACGCCATAGCTCGAGCTTCCTCATTGAACTTAAATGACTCAGAAAGTTGCCGCCCTCCATAATCGAAGCAATAGAGAAGATGAAAGATTAGCTCAAAGGAAAAGAGTGAAAGATGAGTCTCCAGTCCTATTTTATTTATTTATAGGGGTCCTAGCACAAAAATTTAGGAATAATGAATTATTGCATATTTAATAGTCATGAATACATTCAATATTTTTTAAAATCAAATTCTCTTGTCCTTATCACATCGTCATTATTAAGGAGCAAAGTAATTTGGAAAATTAAATATGTACATCAACAAAGTGTCAGCACGAATCTTAAAGAGATTAGACAACCTATAAAAGAGGCAACATGGCTCCCCGAGATACTCCAAAGACAATATGAAATGTCATACCTAGCTGGCTGACACCAACAGGCCTTAAGGAAGATAATCCTCAGACGAATCGAACTCAACTACTCTCTTGGATTCAACCAACAATTGCTTCGGTAATTCGATATATAGATGTCGGTCCATAAAAGCCGGACGAGAGCCATTATAGGATTCTGACCCCATCCAACAGGGCATCGTCTTAGGATCTCAACGCCATCCAGTCAGACGTCATTTCAAGCACTCGACCTCATTCGACTGGACCTCTTTGTTGGCTTTTGGTAACATCCGGATAGATGTTATTTTAAGCTTTCATCACTAAAATCATATATTGACTAATATACTCTCCACATCTATGTATTCTTGTGGTACATAATATAATTATACACCCCTTATTTATAGGGCTCAATTCCTGAATAAAGGTTACATGATTTTACGGTTATATAATGTGTTATTGACTATCTTTATTCTCCTCTCTCTCTCTATGCATATTGATACACCTAAA